TTCAGGGTTCCATTTTTTTTTTTGCCCATACTAAACCTGAAAGTGTGATGTCACTCCGAGGATTGGCAAGCAAACTCTGCATATATACATTCTGAAACAGATAGTGATAGTTGGTGAAAATTCTAAGGAAGTAAACATTTTTCAACAGTTAAACAGAATCCAGTCGATGAACAGGTCTTGTAACTACTGCCCCTTTTAACTTGACACCTCATTGGAGGAGGGAAAGAAAGGGGAAGATGGAGCCAATTGTTAATGAAGAGGAGATTAGAAGAGATGGCAACTGGACATCTACAGAATTTGACAAGTTTTCATATATATTGATATATATTTCGCAGGAACTCAGTACATTCCAACCTAGTACTGTTGTCAAGTCATGTAATTCCCTCACTACTACTGTATTTTCACTATTAACTGTTATAACAAAGTAGAAGAGAATTGGGACATTAACTGAGCCATATGAAGGTGTTGACTGTGGAACAGAGAGAAGCCACCTGATGCTGAGGTGTGCTGTGCACAATGTTATCAGTTTTTAGCAATCGGTGGATATCATTTTGTTAGTAGAGGAAAAACATCTCTTATTGGAGCATTACTTTGTGCTTATTATGTTAATGGTTCTTGTGGTTTATAAATATGAAACAAACTTCAGCAATGAAAAGGCAAATCAAGGCTGATGGAATGGAAGATTGGGCAACTGCAGACATTGGTATCTCTTCTGAATGAATCATCTATGCAGAGTTGGTGATAAGGACTTGAGATTACCACTCCAACCGGTTAGGTGGAAAGACTTGCTTAATGATAAGGTTTAAACATTTTTCTTTCCACTCAACCCCTTTTTAGCTGAATTCTTGTTACAAAAAAGCCCTCCTGTTTCACACAGAAGGTATAAATAATTATTATAATAGGTCTGTATGTGCTTTGAGGCTGCAATGAGAAACTCTGAAGTTTAAACATGAATGCCAATTTAAATTGATCATTGGGGTTTAGGATCCTCATTACCATTTGCAACCAACTTTTTTAGAATTTCCTTTAAAAGTACTGTATGTAGTGGAAACTAGAGAAGGATAATGTCAGAACAATTAAGATTTTTCTTTCTGGGCTAACATTTTTAAATAACTTGTAAAATCATGAAAACATATTTTTCTAGATGAAGACACTACATTTTTAAACATAACCTGACTCCTTGTGAATGAAAATGTTTTTGATGGAGTTCCTTTTATGGAAAAGAAAAAAAAGTCAAAGAAAGAAACAAACAAAGAAAGAAGGAAGACAGACAGACAGACAGACAGACAGA